TATAACAGCAACTTGGTTTGGCAGTAAAGTTAGAACATATAGTATCTGCTAGAATAATGCTGCTGGTATGCTTGTTGACAAATTTTAAAAAGTGTACAAGGTTCATGAGATAGGATTTGCATGTTAGCTTCCATGTAGCAGAATTTGTCTTATTTATGCTTTCTTAGTGTAGTACTGGATCTGGATTGAGAAACACTAGTAGTTGGTATGAAAAAGATATAGAGAAGTCTATTAACAATTAACTAGTATTTACCCAGATTTTTGCAGTTCAGAATTGGTAATCCTGTGCTTGATTTATGATTCTGTAATACCATAATGTTTTCTACAATTTTACCTGGAAGTTAATTGACCTGAAGTTAGTTTTTGACTTACTGCAGTTCATTTAGTGACCATTTTAAGTTACAGTGGCACTGAAAAAGTGACTTATGACCGTTTTTCACACTTACGACTGTTGCAGCATTCCCTTGGTCAAAATTCAGATGCTTGGCTACTGACTTATATTTATGGTGGTTGCAGTTGCCCGGTGTCACGTGATAACCTTTTGTGACCTTCTGACAAGCAAAGTCAACGGGGAAGCCATTCACTTAACAACTGTGTTGCTAACTTAACAATAGCAGTGATTCACTTAACAACTGTGGCACAAAAGGTCGTAAAATGGGACAAAATTCACTTAACAGCTGGCAACAGAAATTGTTGACTCCATTGTGGTTGTAAGTCAAAGATTACCTGTAATTTACTGCAGTAGCCTATGATCCCTTTCTATGTGTATCATTCAAATATAACATGGACATCATATTTATATGATACACTGCAGCTACATCATTCTCTGCTACTTTCCTTTTTGGCAGAGACTAAAACGTACATCTGCTTCATATTTGGGCACATGATAAATATTTAGTAACTGCACAATGCAATACACAAGAGTATTTTTTAGAAAAATGGGACAAACATGCATATGTTTTCCTTATTGATTGATATTTATACAGTATTCGGTGACCCTGGATATAGTGTGAAATTCAGATAAACTTATTTTCAATTTATTATGGAGCAAAATATACAGCATTGGGGTTTTTTTTTGCACATAGATGCAAAAAAATTGTTCCTTGACTTTATTAGGACTCTTTTTTTCCCCATGTTCTTTGTCCCAAGGGAAATAGTTGTGACTCAGAGTTATGTTTTCCCCTTCCTCATTTTTGGTTAGTCCTTATTGCATTGACGCTGAAGAAAGACAGCTCTGGGAACATGTGTTCCCTTACACATATTTCCTTCCCACATCCTCAGCCTGCACATTCCTGCAATGGACAGCATTGGATGTATAAAATTCAGAGAGAAGGGACATAGGCTGCCTTGTTTTATTGCTTTGAGGATGAAAGTTTACTAGCACTATAATTTGTTACCAAGCTGACATAAATGGTAATGACAACTGCATACATCTATTCCCATTTAAAAAAATTAAAAGTCAAGTCACAATAAAGTTGTTTTGCTTTTTTCTCTTCTGGAAAAGATGCAGAGAATTATTATTATTATTATTTTAATTTCTTCTGGGAAAGTTGCAGGACTC